GCGCATCGGCATTTCTGTGTGTGTGTGTGTGTGTGTGTGTGTGTGTGTGTGTGTGTGTACCTGTACATGAGTGTGCCTCAGCATCTTTGGGTATAAGGTGGGTCTTCACATTCTCACTCCTGTAGGAATGTGTGTGTGTGTGTGTGTGTGTGTGTAGCAGGGTCTGCTTACCTGTTTAAGGTGTATCAGCATGGGCTGGGGTCTCCACATCTCTTCCTCCTCACCTCAATCTCCCAGGATACCTAGTTGCCTTCTAGGCTCAGGTCAAGTGCACCTGTATGTGAAACCTGCTCTGATTTCCTCTTCCCTGACAAATTTCCTTTCCCCAAGCAAAATCACTTTGTATTCATATTGTAAGTATTCTTCTGTGTGTGTATATATATGCACACACATATGTATATGTATATGTATATATGTGTGTATAGAGAGAGAGAGAGAGAGAGAGAGATGGAGATAGACAGACAGACAGATAGATAGATAGATAGATAGATGGTTTGTTATGATTGATAGGTACACTGGACTTCAAACACTTAAAGCATTTACTACCTGTGTGACCTTGGTTAAGTCACTTCTCCAGGCCTCAGTTTCCTCGTCTGTAAAATGTTGGACTGGATCATCTATTAAGGTCCTTCCCAGCTCCAGAATACAACCCTGCATTGTCCCCTCCAGCTAGACTGTCAACTCCCTGCAGGCAGGAACAATTTTACTTCTGTCTGTGTAACCCCAGTGTCTGGCATATTATAGGCACCTAATAAATGCTAATTAACTGATCAGTCCACGTATAGAAGTGTAGGGCCACATCTGCTTGCCTGTTAAGTCCATGCCTGGATGATTTCCTCTCTGCCTCTCTGTGTGTGTATAGGCGTGGGCACGTCCACATCTGTGTGTCTGTCCGGAGTGTGTCCCTATATGCTTGCGTTTCTCTGCATTTGCCCCCGAGTCTGTGTATGAATGAGGGAGGAAAGTGGGGGGGGGGGTGCATTCTTCAGCCTGATTTCTGCCAATGATTCTTAATTAGCCCCCTTGAATCCCAGCAAACAACCGTACTAATCAGCCACTAGGAACTTGGCCGGTTTGGGGGGGGTAGGGTTTTTTTCATCGAACAGTGAACCTCAATGCTAATTAATTTAATGTATTAATGACATCCATTTCCTGTTTCAATCGGCATTTATCTTCCCTGCAGAATAGCCTTTTTTTTTTCCTTGACACCTGTTGTGTTTGTTAGCCTGGAACCCTTGCCTAGGACTGTGCCACCCCTCCCTCCCCCTCTCTTCCCCTCCCTTTTTCTCTTCTCCACCCCCCCCCATAGCAGATTCTCAGAATTCAGAAGCCAGAAACCACTGAACTTGGGGGTGCAATGGAGATATTTCTGGAATTTGAGCCAGATGCCTCCCTGCGCCTCAGTTTCCTCCTTTGTAAAATGAGGGACTTGGACAAGATGGACTTTGATATTCTTTGCAGCTCCAGAGCTGAGATTTGATGATATGGGACTTCTCCCTGAGAATGGAAGACGTAGACATTTGTAGGGAGCTGCGATGAGTCTTTGAGGAGGGGCCTTAAGCCCCAGAGTCTCCTTCTAATTTCAGGTAGCAATGGCGGCCCTAACCCAAATACGCCACAAGAGACGAGGCAGCAATACGGTCAAAGAAAGGAAATCAGATTCTCTGATTGGTCAATTTGCCCGCCATAATCCTAGTCAGACAGGGAGCAGCAGAGGCAAAGGCACGGAGGTGGGAATTGACTCGTATGCTGATGTAGAGGGTTGCAGTCTATAGCAGGACTGGAACCATGTCAGTCTCCGTGTAGACTTCGTGCTTTAAAATTCAAGTAACTGGCTGCCCCCATCCCTCTCCCTCCCCCTCCCCAAGAGTCCTGCTCCCCTCCAAGAGAGTAAAACCCATCTCTGCTCTCAGGATAAGGTCAACTATGCCCTGTGCTCTGGACCCAGGCTGGAGGCTGCCCTGGCCTCTAAGGACCGGGAGATCCTGCGGCTTCTGAAGGACATCCAGCAACTCCAGAACTCACTCCAGGAGCTAGAGGAGACATCAGCCAATCAGATAGCCGATCTGGAGCGGCAGCTGACCGCCAAGACTGAGGCCATCGAAGTAGGTGCCAGCCTGCGGTGAGGAGTCTCCAGAGAGGGGTCTGCGAGGCCAAGGGCAGATGTGCAGGCAGGGGGAGGGTCTCAGGTCACAAAAGCATAGATCTCAAAGTTGGGAGGGACTTTGGTGGCTGTCTTATCCAACCCCCCCCCCAGATAATCCTCTTACATCATCCCCCAAAAGTGATCTCCCAGCCTCTGCTTGAAGACCTCCAGGGAGGGAAAGCCCCCCCACTTCCCAAGGCAACCAGATCCACTTTGGGACCACTCTCATCGTTAGGAAGACATTGAAACCTGGCTTTGACCTTGAGACTGTGGTTGAGACCCTCAGTGGCTTCCCCAAAAGAGATGCCCAAGGGGAACAGTCATAATAGTTTATGTTCTTTATGATAGCCAAGCAAGAGAGCTGGCCTTGTAGTTGAGGAGACCTAAGCCCCAGGCCCACCTCTGACTGCCACCCTAAGCAAGTTGCCTGATGTCATGGCAGCCCAGATCATTCTCTTAAGTGTGATGGTACAAGGGGCTTGGGGAAGCCCCATACCAATGAAATCACAAATCTGGTCAAAAAAGGAATTTATTGAAGACATTTTCCCTCTGCAGACCTCATGTGGCCAGTTTATCCCTCTCCAAATCGTACTATTTATTTATTTACTTATTTTTAGTTTTCAACATTCACTTCCGTAAGATTTCGAGTTCCAAATTTTCTCCCCATCTCTTCCCTCCCCCCACCCCAGGACGGCATGCAATTTGATGTTTACATATAGACAAATTGTACTATTACAGGTCTCCCTGTTAGTGTGAATTGTCCCAACTCTGGCCCATGGGCCCCATGAAGGCAAAGATTATGTCTCATCTAACATTCTTTCCCCACCTCCCCAAAGCTCTCTGCATACAGTAGGTAGTTAATAAATAGTGGTTGAATTACGTTGGTGAGCTGTCTCGGATGCCTCGGTCTCCCAAAAGAGATTCACTCACCTCCCTCAATAGGGTCCATTAGGCAGAACTCTAGCTCTGAACACCTGGGTCTAAATACTGCCTCTGAACTTGCTACCTCAGTGACTACAGGCAAGTCGCTTGTGAGTCACCTGTGCAGCAAGGGAGTGTGACTAAATGACCTCTGGGCTGCATCCCAGGTGTAGGATCTAGGTTCCAAGGATAGCCAAGGAAGTGGCTGATGTTTGGCCTTGGGATGGAATTCCCTCCTCTGAGGCCAAGCCCCAGAGTCAGAGATAAGGACTCTGAGAGGACCATGGAAATACTCACAGATGGAGCTCAGGTCGAGACAGGCCTTCTTCTGGGGCTGTGGAGATCCCCAGCCGTCTGCCACGAGCCTCACCAACTCTGCTTTTGGGGTTTATTGTTTCAGAAGTTGGAGGAGAAGCTCCAGGCTCAGTCTGACTACGAGGAGATTAAAACAGAGCTGAGGTACGTTGAGCAGGGTCATGGCGGCCGTCCACCTTTCTCCAGAGAAGAGCCCTGGGCTGGTGGGGAGAGGGCTAGCTACCTCTCCCCTCCCTTTCCTCCTTCCTCTCGTCATTTTTCTCTCTCCTTTCTCCTTCCATCTCCTCTTTTTCTCTCTTCTCTCTTCTCTCTCTCTTAACTCTTCTCTCTACTCTTTCCTCACTCCTCTCTTCATTCTTATCTCTCCTATTTTCTGTTTTCTTTCTCCTCCTTTCTCTTTACTCTGTCATCTCTTCTTTTCTTCTCTTTTTCTTACTATTTATCTCTTCTTCTCTCTTTTCTTTCTCCTTTCATCTCCTCTCTCCTTCCATCTTTCATCATTCTCCTCTATCCTCTCTTCTTTCTCCTTCTCCCTTTTCCTCTTTTTTCTCTCTCATCTATCTTTTCTTTCCTCTTCTCTCTTTTCCTCTTCTTTCTCCTTTCTCCTCTCTTCTTTCCTCTCTCCTTCCATCTCTCTCTCCTCACTCTCCTCATTCCTCTTTTCTTTCTTCTCTCATCTCTCTTCTCTCTTTCTTTTCTCTGCTTGGAGTAAGGAATAACAGCATAGAGTTCATTCCTGGAAGAACCGTGAAGTGGGCCAAGTTTCTCAGTGCCTTTCTCTCTCCCACTTGGACGCATCCTTACCCTTCGGAGGGTCCCCTTCTCACCGCGCATGGACCCTCCTGGCGGTCTGTGACTGCCCAGAGCACTGGTCCCAGCTGGCATGCCACGCCCTCAGCTTTCTCCCTGCATCAGTGGGCTCCCATGCGGAGTCTCTTTTCCCATCCCCCCACATCAAACGGGATCCTGTTCTCATTCAGGGGATCCGCATCAAGTAGCCCCTGGTGAATATTAGGTCCATTAGCTAGTTAGATTATTATCCCCTCCTGTGGGGAGGCATTTGGGAATGTGTGGGTCTTTCCAAGCACCTGCCACTTAGGGTGGCCCTGGAGTCGGGATGGGGGGGGGGGGCAGACCATGTCTAGTAGTCAAAGCTTTGATCCTGTGGGAAAGACAATTGGCCAAGTTAGGGGTCCTTCCCCCAAACTTGGGACAGGACCCCCCAGTGGCTCTAACACCAGGTGGTTTCCCCTCTCTCTGGCAGCATCCTGAAAGCAATGAAATTGGCCTCCAGCACCTGCAGCCTCTCCCAGGTAAGCATCTCTATCTCTGCCTGGGAAGGGAGAAAAATTTCCAGGACCGAATTTAGCCTAACTCATCCCACTTGGGGTGTTGTCTCTACAGAGCATGGCCAAGCCCGAGGATGCCTTGATGATAGGAAAGGATGGATTCTTTCCTGGCCAGAAATTCCTCCTGGAAAAACCAAGCCTTCTGGCCAGCACTGGTAGGAATGAAGGGCCCTGCAGAGTACAGGGACCATGGGGAGGGGGCAGGAGCCCACTCCTGCAAGGGCCCTGGTTGCCCTTCTGCACTTTTCACTCCCCCTGGGAACTTCTTCCTGGCACGTGAGCCAGAGAAATGAGTCTGGGGAGGGCCCACACCATTAGGCCACAAGGTCAGACTGTAACTCCCTCCTCTCATATGGCCACAAGGCTAATCAATTCAGACCAAAACATCTGTGTCAATCTGAGAACTTGGGGATCACCCCTCTAGACCTGGAAGGGGGCATGGAGATCATCCACACCTCTGTTTTACAGATGAGGAAACTGAGACCCAAAGTCCCAGGACCATAGGGTCATCAATTTAGATCTGGCAGAGACTTCTGAGGTCACCTAGTCTATAGGCCTCATTTTGCAGAGTAGGAAACAGGCCCATAGAAAGGAAATGAGTCCCCCAAGGTCACACAAATAGCAAGATGTAAAGTTAGAATTTAACCTCCAGGCCCCTGACTCTAAACCCTCCCCCTTTCCCGTGTCCCTACAGCCTCCTAAGAGCTCAGCTTAAGTCCCCAGGCTCATCTCACCACTGATCAAACCCTTCTGTCTCCTTTAACACCCTTTCCCTCTCTGTACACATTTATTGCTACCCACCTCACCCCATTTTCCAGGTGGGGAAACTGAGTCCCATTGGAAAGACAGTAAATGTGGGGTGAGGTTAGGGTGGGGAACACTCACCAAAGGAGTCATTCCTCAGTCTCCATCCTGTACCAGTTATCTCGGGAGTATGTTTCTTGATTTCTTTATGCCCCAGTCTCCATATCTGTAAAATGGATAGGATAACCCCTGCCCTGCTTACCTCATGGGTTCGTTATAAGCAAGGATCAAATGAAATGATGGGAGATAAAAGCATCTTGGAAAATTGCAAAGATTCTAGGGGTGAGAGGGTTGGCCTCCCTGGGGAGGAACCCACTGGCCTTGGCCCCGATAGCTCCCCTCCCTCTTTATTCTCTAGAGGAGGATCATTCTGAAGATGATTCTGTCAAAGACTCTCTGGGAACAGACCAGTCCTACCCCTCCCCCCAGCAGATGCCTCATCCTTCAGGGCCAGAAGACCCCATCTCCCCCAGCCCTGTCCAGTCCCTGCTGGGCCCTGGCTTGGGGCAAGAAGGCCAAAGGACTTTCTCCCTGTCCCCCTTCCCTAGTCTGGGCACCAGCGAGAGGCTTCCAGGGGAGGCCCTACTCCCCAAGCCAATGATGCCCCCAGCATTCAAGGGTGAAGGTGGGGGCCTGCTGGTGTTCCCGCCGGCCTTCTACAATGCCAAGCCCCCACCGCCCCCGGCCCCCCCGAACCCGCCTGCCAGCACTGATGCCACAACCCCCGGGCCTCCTGGGGACCAGGTGGAGAGCACCACAGTGGATGAGGAGCAGCTGGACACGGCAGAGATTGCCTTCCAGGTGAAAGAACAGCTGCTGAAACATAATATCGGGCAGCGGGTGTTCGGCCACTACGTGCTCGGTCTGTCCCAGGGCTCGGTCAGTGAGATCCTGGCCCGGCCCAAGCCCTGGAGGAAGCTCACGGTGAAGGGCAAGGAGCCCTTCATCAAGATGAAGCAGTTCCTATCCGATGAGCAGAACGTGCTAGCACTGAGGACCATTCAGGTGCGCCAGCGAGGTGAGTGAGCTACCCACCCGCCGTCTTCCAATGGGCCGCCAACCAGGCCACTCTCTCGAGCCAAGTCAATTCATTTCAATCCAACAAACATTTCCCCCAAAAAAATAGAAATAATCCCCTGCGCTCAAAAAGAGTTTACATTGTTTTGGGAGAAAGCAACATGAACACAGTTAAGGCAATACAAACATATACAAAGTAACATGAAGTTATATAAAGACAGAAACAAAAACAGCCCCTACCCTCAAGGAGCTTACATTCCGCTTAGGGGAGGGACAATAATTTAAGTAATTACAAAATACATTTCAGGGAGTGAGGGAGATATGAGTAAAACACTAACAACTAAGGGGATCAAGGAATCAGGAAGAGCCTGATAGAGACGCCTGAGCTAAAATCCTTCAATTCAGGTCAGTTCAGTAAGCATTTAGTAAGCTCCCGCTGTGTGCCAAGCCCTGTACTAAGTATTGGGGATACAAAGACAGAAACAAAATATTTCCTGCTTGAGATGAGTTTAGATTCTAATGGGGGAATTTATCTAATTTAGCACCTTACTCAGTTAGGTAGAAATCAAATCAAGAAACATGTATTGAGCATCTCTTGTATACCGAGTAGATGGAAGGCACTGGGATCTTGGGAGACTGGGAAAGGCCGCCTGCTGAAGGTGACATCTGAGCTAAGTCTGGAAGGAAGTCAGGAGGCAGAGAAGAGCGAGGAGGACGAGCACCCTCGGCACGAGGGACAGCCAGTCCAAACACCCAGCATGTCTTATGTGGGGAGCAGCCAGATGACCAGGGTCACTGGATCAGAGAGAGTTTGTGAAAGGGGAAATAAGGTATAAGGAAACTGGAAATGTAAGAAGAGGCCAGGTTATGAAGGACTTTAAAAGTCATTCAGAGGATTTTTAACATTTGATGCTGAAGGTAATAGGGAGCTTTTGAGGGTTGTTGTGTAGGGGAATGACATGGTTAGATCTGAACTTTAGGGAGATCACTTTGGCAGCTGAGTGGAGGCTGGATCATAGCGTGGAGAGACAGGAGACGAGGCAGGAGACCCATTGGCAATTTGTTACAGTCGTCCAGGTATGGGGAGACAAGGGCTTGCACCAAGGTGAGGGCAGTGTCAGAAGAGAGAAGAAGGCCATCTCCCTCATCAGTAGAACCCATGTGACACTTGGTTTTGCCACTATCTAATGCTTTCCTCTCCTTGTCCCTCAGAAGCAAAATGCCAGAGAGCTGACAACGCTTAGTAGGCCCTCAACAAAGACCTGTTTGCTTTAGTTTATCTTCCCCACCCCAGTCTTCCCTATGAGTTGCCAGGATTCCCTGCCAGACTAGGCCCGAACAGGAGCTGGTCTTACGCGCGGTGACTCCTGGACAGCAGCAGACCAGACGGGTCCCCCACTGGGCCCCCTGTGACAGATCTCTTCTCACCTCTGACCAGGCAGCATCACCCCAAGGATCCGGACGCCCGAGACAGGCTCGGATGATGCCATCAAAAACATCTTGGAGCAAGCAAAGAAGGAAATCGAGTCCCAGAAGGGAGGTGAGTGTGAATGGTATCCCCTCTGCCCCCTCCAGCCTCTCTGTGAGGTGTCTTGGAGGCCTACCTCTGAAAGCCACTCTCTCTGTGGGAACCTGGGCCGGTGTAAAGTATTTGTGAACACTGAAGGAGAGAGAAAGAGACAGACAATGTGAGAGGAAGAGGAAGAGACACAGAGTGGGAGAGACAGAGAAATAGACAGCGGGGAGAGGCACAGAGTGGGAGAAAGAGAAAGAGAGAGATAGACGATGAGACAGAACAGTTCCTGCCTTCAAGGAGCTTCTGTTCTGCTGCCAATGATATCCCATCATTATACTGGCTAGGCAGCAGGAAGTCACTGGAGGTGTTTGACTAGGCTAGTGACCTGGTCGGTCCTGTTTCTGCAGAAAATCATTGAGGTGTGAAGAATGGGTTAGAAAGGGGAGAGCCCAGAGGGCAATGGGCCAGTTTGGTAGTAAGTAGCCTCATCCATAGTGGGGTGGAAACAAAGGTTGGGACACTGTGGAGATACAGCTGGGGCATATGGCAACTGATGGGACGGGGAAGTGGGCAGAGGTTGGCCAAAATGGAAGATGACTCCAAAGTTCCAAGCCTGAGGGACTAAGAGCATGCTAGGCCCTCTGGGAAAATATTGTGGGCTTCAAGGATCCTAGGGTGGGCAAAGAATCCTAGGGTCAGGGGACCTTCCCTGAAAGCCCACCTTAGTCTACCTGGAGACTCAGAAATCGCTGGGCATAACCCTGTTTCAACTACTTCAGTGGCACTTGAGGAATAAGACCTGAATTCAAATCCTGCCTGAGTTCCTTGTGACCGTGGCCTCACTTTCCTCCCCTGTCAAATGAAAGAGATTGAGATCCCAAAAACCTGAGTTTTCAGGGGGATCCATTTAGTTTGGTGGTGTCTGCTGCCCCCTGGTGGATACCAGCTGCACTGTGAACACCCAGTGCTTCCAAAACCTTTGATGGGAGCTGCTCTTCCGCCATCTCGGATCTCAGAGCCTGGACTTTGGAAAAAGACAGGCTTTAGTCTTTGGGTGGGAAAACAGAGAGCCTCAGAGAGACCCCCAGGGCTTTCATGGCGGGGATAAAAGCTGAAAGGGGCCCTAGAGACCATTCTAGTTCAGTCCCTATTTGTTAGAGCAGGAAACCGAGGCCTGGAGAAGTGTGGTACATAGTTGGCCCACTTTGGCTCTTAAATCCAGCCTTCTTTTCTCCAGTCTACACCATCCTTCTTCTTGTCATTGGACCCTTCTTCAACAAGTCAGTTTAACAAATATCCCGAATGTAAAATATCAGTCAGCCAAGCAAACATTTAAATTGTCGAGAGAATGAGTGAGCAGAGAGCTAGTTTCCATGTTAGGAAGTCCTCGGTTCAAATCCTGCCTCCACCACATACTAGCAGTGTGGCCTTGGGCAAGTAATCTACCCTCTCTGTGTTCCAGGCGAATCTTCAGAACTAAGTTTCAGAGCAGGGCCTGATCTGCACTGGGAAAAAGTGTCCTCACTGAGAGTTCTCTATACCAGAAGAGTCAAACTCCAGGCTAAAGTAGCCCGAATCAGATTAAAATGTAACTTAGTCAATAAACATTTATTAAGTGCCTACTATGTGCCAGGCACTGTGCTAAGCTCTGGAGATACAAAAAGAGGCAAAAGACAGTCCCTGCCCTCAAGCAGCTTACAGTCTAATGGGGGAGACAGCATGCAAACACATATATGCAAAGCAAGCTATAGACAGGATAAAAAGGGAATAATTAACAGAAGGAATTAAGAGAAGTTAAGAAAGGATTCCTGCAGAAGGTGGAATTTTAGTTGGGACTTAAAGAAAGCCAGGGAGGTCAGTAATGACAAAATGTTTTTCTAAAAATACAATACAATATAGATAATGTGAGTTTGTGGTTTTCTAAGGTGCCTTCAAGGGATCTGTTTCTCTTTGAGTTTGACACACCTGGGCTGTATCAATGAAATCCTAGCTCCAGTACCACTCCACTGCCAAACCCTGTGCTCAGAGCTGGGGTTAGAAAGACAAATACAAAACAGTGCCTGCCTACAAGGAGCTTCTACTCTAGCCTGGTCAGACCCTATGTACCCAGACATTAGGCTAGATGTGATGGGATAGAGACTCCACATTCACTCCAAAACATTCAAGAAGGTAAGGCTGGCTACAGGGTACAGCCGATGTTCCCCACAGAACAAGGAACCACAGGTTTGGAGTGAGGGCCCCCTCATTTCAGAGATGGAGAACCTAAAATTCAGAGGAGGGCAGTAGCTTGCCCAGTCACATAGCTAGTCATTAGTAACACCAAGGCTAGACCCCAGTTCTCCCAACCCACTTTGCAGGGCTGTGGCCTCCCTAACTCGGTCTGGAATTAAAACAATTCACCAAGTGGGTAATTCATAAGGTGTATAATTAAGAAATTACTGTATTGGCCCCTTGAGCTGAACCAGAGCCTGGGGGGAAAGTGACTGAGAGGGTGAACTGTCCTTCCCAACCTCCACCACCTCTGTCTTCCCCCTCTCACACCCTGCACAGGTGAGGCCAAGAACCCCTCCATCCCACTCAGCGTCCCCAACGGCACCAACACCAGCACCTCAGAAGACGCCATTAAGAGCATCCTGGAGCAGGCGCGGCGGGAGATGCAGGCCCAGCAGCAGGCCCTTCTGGAGATGGAGTCATCCAGCCGCGGCGGGGGGCGCTCAGTGCCCCCCTCGCCCACCGAGCGCCCTACGCTAGCTGCTGTGAGCCAGAACATCGTCCAGGCCTACATCAAGCAGGAGGATGGGCCGGCGGGGCTGGGTGTGACCAGCAGCAGCGCCACTCAGACCCCCCTCACTGTCCTGTCCCCCGCGGCCTTTGTCCAGAGCATCATCCGCAAGGTCAAGTCTGAGATCGGCGACGCTGGCTCCTACTTCGACCAGCACTGGGCCTCAGAACGCAGCGTCCTCAGTCGGCCCTACACGTCAGTCTCGCCATCCCTCTCCTCCTCTTCCTCCAGCTACTCCAGCCAAGCCAACGGGAGGCCATGGCCCCGGGGAGAGCCTGGGGAGGCCCTGGTGACTGAGGAGGAGGCCCCGGCAGTCACCAACGGGGAGGACGAGCTACCCAAGGTGGGCGAGATGAAGCTGGAGGGGGCCAGCTCTGAGCCGCCTGGCGGTGGACGGCTGGCCTACTACCCGGCTTATGTGCCCCGGACTCTGAAGCCCACCGTGCCCCCCCTGACCCCAGAGCAGTACGAGATGTACATGTACCGGGAGGTAGACACGCTGGAGCTGACCCGACAGGTCAAGGAGAAGCTGGCCAAGAATGGCATCTGCCAGAGGATCTTTGGAGAGAAGGTAAGGGCTACCACGCCAGGCTCCATGGTGGGCAGGGGAATGAAATGGAATATGCAAGAAAGGCACTGACTATGCGCCGGGCACTGAGATATAGTCACCATCAAGGATAGAAACAGAAGATTGAGTGCTCTCCCTCCAGAAGCTTACACTCTCTAATTGGAGGAGACAACCTGTAAAGGAGGGTCTACAACATGCTCCCCCATATGCCACCGTCCAAAGGCCATGGTCCTGGGAAGGGCCTGGGGACCCCCTTTTGAAAGAATTCCCCTTTAAAGGGCCGGGGCTGCCAAGGCTTTCAGTTTCTGCCTAGATTCACCATGGGCCATTGGCTTGTCTACAGAAATCCAGAAGGTCCTGGCAGGAAATATTTGGATCTGGATGGAGCTTGGAGGGAGTGCCAAGGATTTTGGTGGATGGAGATGTGGATCTCCTTCTTCCAGCACCCCAGGTACTAAGAGCCGGCCGAACTCAACTCAATTCAACAAGTGTTTATTGAGTTCTGAGCCAGGCATTCTACTAGGCACTGGGGATAAAAAGACAAAGGTGAGATAGTTCCTGCCCCCAAGGAGCTTATATTCTGTAAGGGGAGAAAATATGCCCATTTGTCGATCAATTGATCAATTAATCTGCAAACATTTATAAAGGGCCTACTATGTGCTGGCTCCTCTGCTGGGCACTGGGGATACAAATACAAAAATGAGACAGTCCCTGCCCTCAAGGAACTTAAACTTTATAAGGGGAAACATGTGTATTTATCAGTCAATGAACTCACAAACATTTATTGAGTACCTACTATGTGTTCTACTATGTATCTGCCTCTGTGTTGGGCACTGGGGACAAAAAGACAATGGTAAGACAGTCCCTGCCCTCAAGAAGTGTACATTCTACTGGAGGGATACTACCTTTATTCATTCGTTCAAAACACATTTACAAAGTACCTACCATGTGCTCACCGCTGGAGCTACAAAAACAAAAATGAAAACCTGTCTTCAAGAAGCTTGCATTCTTGAAGAGCAGGGGAAATATAGACTCTCTTATGAGCCTGAGCTTAATGCCCCCAGGGTTCTCTGTTCCAGTAGAGACCACAAAGGACCAGGTCCCCAGGCCAACCTAGAGTGCTGTTCCATCCAGGGGACCTTCTCCCAGAGCAGCCCTAAAGTCCCCTTTAGTGGGCCTGAGAATGGCCCGGGTTGAGCCAAGAGGGGGTGGGAGAGCTTGACCACCATGACACTGCTGACTGTCCCTCCTCCCCATCCCCCAGGTGCTGGGCTTGTCCCAAGGCAGCGTGAGTGACATGCTGTCCCGACCCAAGCCGTGGAGCAAGCTGACACAGAAGGGGCGTGAGCCATTTATCCGAATGCAACTCTGGCTCACGGACCAGCTGGGCCAGGGCATCAGCCAGCAGCCCAACCCCACCCAGGGTAAGTCCCAGGGGCTGGTGGGAGCCAGGCAGGACAGAGATTGGGTCCTGGCCCAGAGCCTCAGACCTTCTACCTCATAGGATCATAGCTGTAGAGCCAGAAGACGCCTCAGAGGGCTTCTAGGTCAACCCTGCCATTTTACAGGTAGGGAAACTGAGGCCCAATGACTTAAGGACACACAGGCGGTAAACAAGATTGGGGCAGGATTTGAACCCGGGTCCTCTGAATCCCACGCCAATTCTACTCCCTCTCATTTCAAAGACAACAGATGGTGATCTCTGGAAATGGGTTATGAATAGAGGAAGAAGAGATGGGACTAGGTGGTCAGGAATTCAGACTAGACATTACCAGGACCTCAGTGGCGAATCTAAGTAGATTTTAAAATGGAGGGGGCTGCCTTATCAGGTAGTGAGTTCCCCTTTCCTAAGGAGAGGAGGGAAGTGTCTTCAAGCAGAGCCTGGAAGCCCACTTGTTAGGGTTGTGGTAGCTCGTCATTACCGCTATTGTTCAGTCATTTCAGTCATGTCTGACTCTTCATGACCCCATTTGGGATTTTCTTGACCGAGATACTAGAGTGGTTCTCCATCTCCTTCTTCAGTTCATTTTACAGATGAGGAAACTGAGGCAAACAGGGTTAAGTGACTTGCCCAGGGTCTGAGGTCAGATTTGAACTCAGGTCCTACTGACTCGAGGGGCAACATTCTATCCACTGCAGCGCCACCTAGCTGCCCCTAGCTTAGTCATAGACTGGACTAAATGTCCCCTGCAGTCTCATCCAATTCTGAAATTTCCTGATTCTGTGATAGTCAGAATAATAATAATAGCCAACACGTAGCACCTTAAGCTTTGCTCAGCACTCTCCATGTGTTCTGGCACTCAACCCCCACAACATCCCTGAGGGGTAGGTGCTACTATCCCCATTTTGTGGATGGATAAAGTGTTTTGCCTAATTTCACACAGCTAGCAAATATCTGAGGCAGGATTTGAACTCAGGTCTTCTTGACTCTAAGCCAAGCACTCTATCCACTGGGCTACCTATTTGCCTGGATGAGACAGAATGTCCAAAAAAAAAAAAATCGAGCAGAGATTGGGAGAGAAACAGACAGAATCCAAATGAAAGACCTAAAAAGGACCTGCAAAACCTTCTGGTCCAACCTTCTCATTTTACAGATGAGGAAACTGATGCCCAGAGGATCCTAGACTTTGATTCAGACCTTACAGCTTTTACCTGGAGTCCCAGAATTTCTTGTTGGGGTTTTTTTTTATATATTCTGATTTCTGTGTTTCAATATAATTGGATACTCTTGGAATCCTATGTGTTTTATTTTGTGCATTTTAGTAACATTCCAACATGGCTAATGCCAACATGTATTTTGCATGACTATATGTATTTGTTAGGTTTGAGGGGTTTTTGCCTTCTCACTGGGTAGGGGAGAGGTAGGGGGGAAGGAGTGAATTTGGGACTGGGAAAAAAAGAAAAGATCTCTATGCTTTTTTAAAAAATAATGATAAAAAGTGCTTCTGAGGAAGGGTCCATAGATTTCACCAGATTGCCAAAGGGGCCCATGATTCTCAAAAGGCTACGAACTCCTGCTCTCAGCCATCTAGTCCAGCCCACCCCATTTTACGGATGAGGATGGGACATGCTTATACCACTCAAAAAATGGGATTCCAACACTTGTCTTTCAAGTGACTGGGTTGTCGTTTTGTTGCACCACACTGCCCTCTACAGGAAGACCTGGGTTACTTGCGGGATCTTCCTAGCTGGACAGCTCCTCTGGTTAGCTCTCCCTTACATCAAGCCAAAATCTGCCTTTTTGGCAGCTTCAATCAATGCATTGTTCCTAGTTCTGTCCTCTCGGGGGACAAACAGGACAAGCCACACCCCTCTTCTGTGTGACAGTCCCTTAGAATCTGGTCACCAACTAGCATGTTCCATCACTCATCTCTTCCCCATTTTCTTGAAGCAGTCCACACATGGCATGAATTCAGGGCTCTGGTCACCTGCCTTTAAGGGAAGTGTTTGGACCGACGGTCTCATCGAGCTCTGAATCTATCATCCTGTGATTCCATGACCCTCAGAAGCCCTGTCAGCTTATCAATGGCCTTCCTACAATGGGATGCCTGGAACTGAAGCCAAATTCTGCCTCAGTCGGGCATCATCTTATATGTTCCCTACTGAGGCAGGAACCCATCCTTGGGTATGAGCCAACCCAGAGCCCACAAAGGACAGCGGGAGATGGATTTCCCTTGGCCTAAAGGGGGAGCAAAGGAAATGAAAGACGGATAGATGTGGACGCTGCCTCCAAAAGGAAGAGGTGACACAGCCCAGAAGTGAGGAGGGAATGGAGGGATTTGTCCATTGACTTAGAAATGGACGTGTCTTTAATATGGCCCACTAAAAATGGGTCCTGTTAAAGTACAGGGCAGTACAACTGGACCATTCCTACATAAACCATCTAGCGCTTTGGGCTAGATAGATATGAGAGTCCCAAATTTGCCCTTTAAAATAATAAATCACAGAGTATACAGAAATGTGAAGTCAATACGCATCAGGTCAGAAGAGTCTTACATTTGTCTCGAGGGCACATCACTGCCCTATATCGCTGCCTTATAGATGTAGATCAGATTGGACAGGGTAGACACTTCCTTAAAGATTCTATGCTTCAAGGGGCAGCTAGGTGGCACAGTGGATAGAGCACCAGCCCTGAAGTCAGGAGGACCTGAGTTCAAATCCAGCCTCAGACCAAACACTTGACACGTATTAGCTTGGGCAAGTCACTTAGCCCCAATTGCCTCACAAAAAAAAAAAAATAGAGATTCTATGCTTCAAATACTGGGAGACAAGGGAGAGAAGATTGGTAAGTCAAATCAATAAATATTTTGTAACAGCTGGCATTTTAATATATGACAATAGATTTAAGGTTTGAAAAGCACTTTACAAATATTACCTGATTTTATCCCCGCAACAACCATGTAAGTATTATTGTTATCCTCATTTTACAGATGAGGAAACTGAGACTGAGAGACATTAAGTAACTTGCTCAGGATTACACAGCTAGAAGGTCTCTGAGGCTGGGATTTGAACTCAGGTCTTCCTGACTCTAGGTCCACTGCTCTATCCATTGGGCCACCTTTTGTTACTTTTGTTTAGTCATTTTTAGTTGTATCTGACGCTTCATGACCCATTTGGGATTTTCTTGGCAGAGACACTGGAGTGGGTCACCATTTCCGTCTCATTTTACAGATGAGGAAACTGAGGCAAACAGGGTGAAGTGACTTGCCCAGGGTCACACAGCTAGGAAATGTCCCAGACCAGATTTGAACTCAGGTCTTCCTTACTCCAGGCCAAACACTCAATGCACCAGGCCTCCTAGCTGCCCCAGGTGTGCCACCTTTACCCCTAAGTATAGTGGGTGATATCACAAAGTATAATACATAGTTCCTGCCCTCAAGGAGCTTACTTTATAGTCTGATAGAGGAGACAACTGTAGAATAGTGGATAGAGGCTGACTTTGGAGGTAGGAAGCTCTGGGTGACCTTGGACAAGTCATTTAACTGATCAATGTCCACCCTCCACCTCCAACTCTCTAATCCTATAGGCTACAGAGAAGTTGCTGACTCCCTCCTCACTGGAGGGAGTTTTCACACCTGGAATTCCCTACACTGATAAAATCACAAGTCTAAACCAAAAAATGGAAGATGACACCTAGATACAAGTACCAATGACTTGAACAAAGGCATGAATTTTATACTTATCAGATGTGCATAGGACACAAGCTGGTCAGAAAAGTCAGTGATGAAAAATGGGTTCCAAAAAGTCTTAATAGGCTAGAATATAGGACTGACAATAATAAAGTGGAGCCGCTAGGTGGCACCATAATGCATCGAACACAGGCTTGGAATCAGGAAGACTGATCTTCAAGAGTTCAAATCCAGCCTCAAACACTTACCAGCTGTGTGAGCCTGGGCAAGTCGCCTAATCTCATTTGCCTCAGTTTCCTCATCTATAAAATGAATTGGAGAAGGAAATAGCAAACCCTTCTAGTATCTTTACAGAAAACCCCAAATAGAATTATAAAGAGTTGAACACAACAAAAATGTGCCAGGCATTGTGCTAAGTTCTAGGGATACAAAAAGAGACAAAAGAAGACCCCTTCCTATGGACACTCTCAAATTATCAGTGTCCTTTGTAATATGTGGCCCCCAGAATAGAACAGAGAACCCCATGCAGATATGGCCAGACCAACAGAGAGGACAGTGGGACTGTTACCAGCCTGGTCCTGGACACTGCCTCCTATAAGGAATGTGGTTCAGTTTAATATTGCATTTGTTCTCTGGGTTGTGTGACAGCTGAGTCATGCTGTGCTTGCAGTCCATGGAAGGTACTCACAGATGTTTTTCAGATGAGCTGCTGTCTAGCCATCTTGTACTCCCCCATCTTGTACTTGTGACGCTCAGTGGATGGTCAACTTTACAATATCAAGAAAATCCCAATTGGGGTCACGAAGAGTCAGACATGACTGAACAATCACATCCCCATTTTTTAATGGGGCAGCTAGGTGGTTCAGTGGATAGAGCACTGGACCTGGAGTCAGGAGAACCTGCGTTCAAATCCAGCCTCAGGCATTGTACTAGCTGTGTGACCCTGGGCAAGCCACTTCACCCTGTTTGCCTCAGTTTCCTCATCTGTAAAATAAGTTAAAGAAAGAAATGGCAAAGCACTCCAGTATCTATGCCAAGAAAGCTCCAGATAGAGTCACAGAGAGTCAGATACGACTAAAATGACTCAATCACAATAACAACAAACTGAGGGGCAGAACCATGGACACATACTTAGCCCCACGTTAACCTGAAATTAATACAAAAGTATGAGAGATATTACAAAGTAGTGCATGAAGAATTCCCAAGTGAGGAGTACAGACAAGTGCTCTTGGAGTTTAGAATAGAGAGGCAATGTCCTGGGATTCAAAAAGCTTTTGGATCAAGGGGTCTGAATT